TGCGCGGCGCGCGACTGCGCAAGTCGCGCATGCGCGCCGCCGCGCCGTACGGTGTCGAGAGCAGTCGCTACGGTGGCGCCAGTCATGGCGGCTGAAAATACACGCGCACGCTGCTGCCGCTGCCGCCGCCGCCACCACCGCCGCCACCGCCGCCGCCGGTCGGTGCCTCCACGCCTCTACCTCGCCTCCGCCACCGCCACCGATCCCACGATTCGTGGGTAAGTACCCTCACACTCTACGCTCCAATCAGTCTGCACTCGCATGTCTACGAGGTTGCTCGCACGGGCCTGGCGGCATCCTCTCTCTCTCTCCCTCTCTGCCTCTTACTACGTTTCGCCCGCTCGCGTCCTCCTATTATTCTCTCTGTCTCGCTCTTCCCTCTCCCCCTCCTCTGTGTGTGTGTCTCTCTCTCTCTCTCGTTTGCCGTCTCTGTTTGTCTATCTCTGTCGCACTTTCGTTCACCTGACTCTTAACGCGAGCAGTGCGCTTACACGCAGCACGGGGGTGATACCGGTCCGCCAGTCGAGGTACTGGCCGCGGACACCGCAGCTGTGTGGTGGTTGAGGTTAGGTCGACGGTATCAGTCGGCCGTGTAGTGGCGGGACGCGGCGCGGCGGATTTGAATTTTCGAACCTGTACAACTGCGGGTTATCCCGCGCCGTGCTCGAGCGCGGCTCGCCGCCGCCGGCTAGACTCTCTTCTGCGGATCAATTCGCGCGCGCGTGCCGCGATCGGAGGATCTCGCCGGTGACCGTCGAGACATATAACTCGATTACTGTCGTCGTTTTCCTCCACGGCTGCGGGGACGGCGGGTTTGTGATTGTCGTCGTCAATCGCGGTATAACAACCGGGCCGAATCGTTTACGTGCGCCCGCAAATTGTAAGGTGAGGCGACGTTAGACCGGGGTTTAGGACCGACGTTTTGTCGAAACGAACGGAAGCTCTTTGTGAGGACGATGCGCCGCGAGTTTTTAACGTTATCACCATCGCCGCCACCGCTGTCGTCGTCGTCGTCGTCGTCGCCGCCGCCACCGCCGCCGCCGCCGTCGTCGTCGTCGTCGTCGTCGAGGCCGTCGCATTCGCGCCCAGTGGAAACGCGCAGCGACGGAGACAAGCAGCGGGCCCTGTGAGGTTTTCTGTGAATGTTCTCGGACAGCCGCGTGCCGCGGCTAGCCGCGCATCAGTTTCTCAGTGCACACGAGGAAAACGTATGCGTGCCTGGTGATCAACAATGTCTAATTCTCGCGCCCCCGGGAAAGCGCCACGCGGATCCCCACTCGGTTCCGCGTGTCGCGTCGTCGTCGTCGTCGCCGTCGTCGGATTCACGTCGAGAGTTGCTCGGACAATGAGAACGTCGT